TGGTGCTTAAGTCTTGATGAACTGAATAAAGTGAATAAACGCCAAGTGTTTTAATAATAACACAGTCTTGTGTTCAATAGTAAATAAATACGAAAACACGGTTTCAAAAAACGAATCAACTAAAGTAATAGTCTTTATTTTAGTTATCGTTACTTTTGTCCGAGCAACGCCAGGCCCACCTGCTAGTATATATATAATTGAGACCGGTTGATGATAATAAGCGCAGAGCCGAAACGGTTAGGAGAAGTTGAAATTTGGTACACGGTACATTACGAGAATGCACACTAAGAACGGAGTTTTCGAAATTTCTCCCCACGGGGGAGAGGGACAGGATTAAGGCTTAACACTTCCATCAACAATGGAAGTGTCAACAATGGAAGTGTTATGTAACAATGGAATTGTTAAGAAAAAGCGACGTGCAAGACGCAGATGCAGGTTTTTTTGTTTTGCGGGAAATCGAACATATTTTTAGACCCATCTAAAAATTCTCTAATTAGTCTGGAAACAAGGGGACCCAATTCTTGCATTCTGTGAAAACGGGTAAGGTTGACTGTAACGTAATAATCTTTATCTTAGGTATCGTTACTTTTTCCCGAGCAACGCCGGGCCTACCTGCTAGTACAGTAGAGCCTCGATTAACCGACCGTTCTAGTCGGCAAATTTCAAATGTGGCGCTACAATATTTGGCTATGTCTTGGCTACTTTAATAATGGATTTTTTCATACTTTTCGGTTATCCGACTTTTCAATTATCTGACCAACCCCAGTCCCCAATTGAGTCGGATAATCGAGGGTCTACTGTATATATGTTATGTATAATCGAGACGGGTTGATAATAATAATAATAATCAGCGCAGAGCCCAAATGGTTAGGAGTTGAAATTTGGTACACAGTTAGGTTACGTCACGAGAACGTACACTAAGAAGAGAATTTTCAAAATTCTCCCCCACGGGGGAGAGGAGAGGATTAAGACTTACCCTGAAGAACTCTGCTTCTACTGTACTATTTTAGATGCGTTTTTTTTGCGTTTTTGATTGCATTTTAATAGGGTGCGTATGTGGGGGCCGAGGGGAGAGAAATTTAAAAAACGTAATTAACGATAATATGTGATATATATCGTCATCGTCTCCCATGCCGTTTGGACAGCTGAAACAATCAACGACATCTGGAAGCAGTTGAGTAAGAGACAGATGCCTCGTTTACAATAACGCAACCCGTTTATTAAACACGAAAGAAGCTTACAAGATTTCCGTGATCTTGGAAGTTCTACGTCGGCTGCGGCCTTTGGGGTCTTCCTCTCCTTTCCAAGATTTTGAAGGAGTGCCCCTTGTTCGCGAATGAACCATTCCATCATCTCTCGACGACTCCGGGACGATGCGGTCGACTTCCGTTGATGGAAAGATGTCGATCGGAGGTCGGGAGATGGAGACGAAGATGGGCGCGAGACACACTCACAACAATAGATCCGTCACTTGGAACTTTCGGGAGAAGAAGCCGTCATGTCCTTGAATTTCCGGGGTTTTATCCGTTTTCCTCAGATTCCCCTTTCCGATTGTTCTCTCCTTGTCACCTGATGACAATTCGAAACCTTTCGGGGGGTGCGGGAGAGGTCAAAATCAAAGTTTAATTCGATCTCGAACCGGAAATGGTCGGCGGACTTACATTCTTCTATTGTTTAAAAGTAGGCGTCGCGTTTTCACATAAAAAATTTATATATAACTACTATATTTTTTTCTCAAAAAAAAAAAATTATTTTAACGCGAATTTTAGTGAGGATTTGGACTCGTCCAGAGCCTCACACATACACTAAGAAGGGATTTTTCGTAATTCCCCCGCGGGGGAGAGATTGTTAAAACTTCCTCCGCGGGGGGAAGTGTTAAGAATGAAAATGTTAACAATGGAAGTGTTAAGAATGAAAGTGTTAACAATAGAAGTGTTAAGAAAAAGCGGCGTGCAAGATTAACAGGCGCAGATGCGTTTTTGCGGGAAATCGAACATATTTTTAGACACATGTAAAAGTTCTCTAATTAATCTGGAAACAGGGGAACTGATTCTTGCATTCTGTGAAAACGGGTAAGATTGGCTATAATGTAATAAACTTAATCTTCACTATCGTTACTTTTTGCCCGAGCAACGCCGGGCTTATTTGCTAGTATATATATATATATAAATTTTTCACCATAAGTATTGCTGAAAGTAATGAAACAGCAAGTAAATTTAAATGAATATAATTTAATTAAAAAGTTGCAGTGATACCGGTATATTGGTACTCGAACAAATTGGTATTCGAATGCATGTTCGAGAAAAAAATTGCTCGATAATTCGATCGTGCTCGGCACTCTCCGAGCAAATTTCTGATTAATAACAAATAATTTTGTCATCCATAAAAAAAAATGCTTTATGATAAAAATAAGTATGGTTTTAATTTATTTTTAAATTACTTAGAGTTGACTATCTTCGTCGGTTAAATTATTATTAAACCAAGAATAGAATCTCAAATTAGTAATAATGTCTTAAATTTTATAATCGTTACAATTAAATCAAACATCTGTATTAAATAACGATAGCTGTTAAAATTAAGCAAAAGTTTTCCTTTTCCGTTAAACCCAATAAATGTAATAGGAGTATTTTACCATTCTTACTACGTTTGGATATTCTCGGCTGAAACAGGATGTGTCAGTCTGCTCCTAGCTGTCGCTCAGTGTGCAGCTTTGCTGTAAACTGTTTTATTTCTTTTCATTTTTGGGGATTTTTATGATTTATGCATGCTAGGCTTATAGACTTCTCGTTAGTTAACTAGAATTTAAGTGTATTTTTAAGGATACTGTCGCAGGATAACGTACATTAGATTAATCTAATGTACTGTACGTTTTATATCTTTTATAAGCTATTTTCAATCGTTTAAAAATTTATCGAACAAACCGACGCATCCTTTAATTTCATGAAAGTATTTACGAATCTGAGGTAGTAAAAATACGCACAATACACTTTTGGTATATAATTCTATTATTCCTATTGTTAATTTCAATACGAAAAAAATCTGTTGTTAAGATTAAAAATGTATTTTTCAAAATTTTATAATCAGGTTTGAATGACTAAAAGACATAACAATTTGTCCTCTGCTAACGTATACAGTATGCATGTTACAGTAGAGGAAGATTGTTTTTTTGGGGGGAATCAAATCATAATCTTTATTTTGTTTAAGGGTTTGTTGATGTAGAAATTTTAAGTTTTTTAAAAAGGAAAATATTAAATTTAAATAAAAAGTATCTACTATCGACTATTGTCATCTACAGCATATGAATGCATGTTGAATGGATCTTGAAAATTAAATGTAAATTTTGTTTAAGAACACCACAAATAGCGAAATGAATAAACCTCTGAATAATCTCAGTTTCTTTTTAATATCCGAACTAAGTAATATATACCATAAAACGTATTCTTGTTAACGAGATTTATTCTAAAAAAAATTATTTATAGAAATTTTACGAAAATTTAATTAACGAAGACAAAATATATATATATAATTTGTTAAAATATTCAGAAACATTTTCTATGAACAATGCTCGGTCCCGATTCATCGTATTCTTGTTTTGATATCCACATTTGTTGAAAGGTAGACAACGAAGCTAAAATGGATCCTCCGATCCAAACTGAATATTTTCTTTCCGGCGGAGCTATTATTTTAATTTTCATCGTACTGGGAGCTAAAGACGAAATTTCTTTTTGCATACGATCGGCAATTCCCGGAAACATGGTAGTACCTCCTGATAACACAGTGTTAGAATAAAGATCTTTACGTATATCGACGTCACATTTCATTATTGAATTATACGTAGTTTCGTGAATGCCGCAGGATTCCATTCCTAGGAAAGATGGTTGAAACATCGCTTCCGGGCATCGGAATCTTTCGCTTCCTATAGTAATTACTTGTCCATCCGGCAGTTCATAAGACTTTTCGATTGCCGATGATGCAGCTGCATTAGCCATTTGTTCTTCGAAATCGAGAGCCACGTAGCAGAGTTTCTCTTTGATATCTCTAACAATCTCTCTCTCGGCTATAAAGAATTCTCTATTTAGTAAATTATTTTTCAAAAGTTTTAGATTAAAAATGCTAATAATACCTGTAGTGGTGAAAGAATATCCTCTTTCCGTTAAGATTTTGATAAGATAATCCGTCAAATCTCGTCCGGCCAAATCTAATCTTAAAATGGCATGAGGTAGTGCATATCCTTCGTAAATAGGAACGGTGTGAGAAACACCATCTCCAGAATCCAATACAATTCCCGTAGTTCTTCCAGAAGCGTAAAGAGAAAGCACGGCTTGGATGGCCACGTACATGGCAGGTGTATTGAATGTTTCGAACATTATCTAATAAAAAAGATTTGTATATTTAGAGAGATTAAAAAGAATATCTGTAAAAATAATTAACAAACTTTTTACCTGTGTCATTTTTTCTCTGTTAGCTTTTGGATTCAATGGAGCTTCGGTTAATAAAACAGGATGCTCTTCGGGAGCTACTCTTAACTCGTTGTAAAACGTATGATGCCAAATTTTTTCCATGTCGTCCCAATTTGTTACAATACCGTGTTCTATTGGATATTTTAAAGTCAAAATACCTCTTTTGCTCTGTGCTTCATCTCCCACATAACTATCTTTTTGTCCCATTCCCACCATTACACCCTATAAGAGAATTTACAATGATGAATATTTAAATTAATTTTAGAACTAATTCTCGGAAAGGAAAAAAAGAAAACATACCTGGTGTCTTGGTCTACCGACAATAGAAGGGAAGACAGCTCTGGGGGCATCATCACCCGCGAATCCAGCTTTACACATTCCCGAACCATTATCGATTACCAAAGCAGCAATATCGTCGTCGTACATCGTTATAACTATAAAATGTAATTTATATTAAAATTTTAAACTATTTTATAAAAAAAAAAAAAAATCTAAGAGCAATAGTCTCTATCTTACCAATGATCTAGCTGATTAGTAGACAATATCAATCTTTTCCCACCGTCAGTATGGATGAGATGGTACTCTGATAATACTGTCACACCGACTCCACTTTTTTAAATATAGTTCGCCGCAACTGTTGCGCTTTGTACCGAGGCTTTGATGACGTCATAAAAAAAACTCCCTCAAATGATCGAAAAGACATCCCCCCCTGCATTCTATAACCATATATAGAAATGTACGATTAGAAGCGATTTCCAATTTCTAGAATTGGTTAACGGAAGAACGAAGAACGAGAACGGCAAGAGAATGTTTTTGATCGATGTTTTCCTCTAACTTGAACTAATATTTAGTTTCGATAACTAGTTCAAATGAATTTCGGTCTTCCGTTAAATGGAACGAGATAAAAAGTGACCTCCTCTCTTTTAGTATCGACCGTATACATTATTAATGAAAAATCGGAAATTATCTCAATAATTTACCGACGAATGATTTTATTTAACATTTAATAAACTTGTATTATTTAAATTAAATCATTTTATTTTTGTATTAACAGTTGAGTTTTTATGTAAATTATAGTAAATAAATGACGATAAGAAAAATAAATTTTTGATACTTTTTAAGGTAATAATGATACAAAAAAAAGGTAAGTGTTTTTTTTTTATTATGACTTTATGTTTTTTATATCATAAAAAACGAACTTACGTAAATTATATTATGATACCTGCTGACGTAGAATTTCTCTCTCCTCGATTTGCAACGTCACGTGTATTTGGCAAAATTTATATTTTTATTTTATAAATATTTGATATTAAATTTAAGAAATCGCATCTTCTAAATTCGCGTGTAATTAAACTATATTATCTGGCAAAAATCGATTAGACGTAAAGCGCAATCGACAACGGAATTCTCCTTTTCATAACAGATGAAATTTTAGTAGAGTAATAAGAAAGAGAATATAAGCTTATACGTATATTAATTATCATTTATCCGTATAAAGTAGATGCATTTCGAACATTATTTTTCTCAGATTTTAAGATCATCTGAATTTTAATAATAAGTAAATAAATAAAATCAGAAAACAGGAAAAAAAGTGTAGCTTTCAAAGTTATTGATGGTGAGAGAATTTTGTTTTTTTATAATATATTTCATACTTCAGTAACATTTGACGATTAAGCAAACATTATACATTTTTGGGACACTATACAGACACTGTCCCTAAAAAACAATGTATACACCAATTTTTAATAGTTTCTATATTTATTTTCTTAATTTTAATTTAGTAACTAATTAATTAATAACTAAAAATATTAGATTAGTCATTTCTAAGGTCATTTTTTTTTTACTTGAAAAAGAGAAAATATATATAACTTGTAAAATGTGAATACACATGTACTGTACAGTACATTTGTTTGAGATACCCTACATATACTGTAAGCTATATATAAGTAGGAATTTAAATTAATTTATCAATAAAATAATTTACATTAACCAAAGTAAATATTTCTTCGGTAATAGAGAGGTTGCGGCCGACGTTTTTAACGCGAAAACGTGTACGTCGGACGTTCGGCGCCACTTTCCTGTAAGCCTAGAAGTTTGAAAATGGCGTTTGGAACGTCGAGCATGATTTCACTGACGTTCCAAACGCCATTGTCGAACGTCTAGGCTTACAGGAAAGCGGCGCTGAACGTCCGACGTACACGTTCTCGCGTTGAAAACGTCGGCCGCAACCTCTCTAGTGTTTTAAATTTTACTCTGTAAATAATGATTTTTTTATTGTTTACGTGATGCGTTAAGATCACCATCTTTAATCAGTTTTCGATGTTGAAGCTACTGAAACAATTATTGGAAATTAGTATTGTTATTTCTTTTTTATTATTATTTTAAACATAAAAAAAGAAATCATATTTAATAAATTTCTTGTACGCTTCTTATGAGTCTGAAGTTTCAATAATATTTCGTCGAATTCTATTGCTTCAAACTTCAAATTTCAATTTCATCATTACATGTGTAATATATTATTTTATTGTATTGAGAAAGAAATTAATACGAAACTTTTAAGAAATATTCAACATTATATATATGTAACGGTGAGAATGCACAAATCGTATTATTTTTTTATATCTAAGTATTATCACTACGTACTGTACACGGTATAAAAGTCTAGTGGCTTCCTTTACCATATTCTGTTGACATATTTCCATTACCTACGATTAATTAGCTACCGGCTTTCGAGAATCACGTGAATTTATCGAGCCTTCTATTAAAGTTCTTCGCACTTTCGAGTCACGTTTTTTGTGTTCGCCCACCCATTTCGGATTATCACGTGACCTTACCGATTACTGAGTAACGTCGTCTTAAAACTGGAAACATTAACAGTATTTAATATAATTAATTTTATTCTTCTGTTTACTTTTTTTTTAGTTTTATTATCGATCAGTTTTTTAATCTCGATTGATGTTGATTTTTTTTTTATTGAACACTTCGACTTACTATATAACTTAACTCAGGTATGAAATTTTGAGGGAAGCTATAGGGGCAACCGTCCTTGCAATGTTATTATTATTATTTTTTTATTTTATCCTTATTAATAAAAATTTCTAACAGACCTTTCATTATTTCTCCGTTCTAAATGGTTTTACCGTAATATTTTTATGATTACTTTTCAATTTTGTTGCATTTTTTTGTGTGTTTAAAGTTTGTGTAGGCCTGGTATATTTTAAGTTATTACTAAAGCGATAAATATTCTATTTTATTACTGAATTAAAGATCCTTCAATAAGATTTCTTCTGGGTCAGTTTTTGTATAAGTGGAAAGGATGATCGCATTTTTAGAGATTCTACTACAGTAATGAAGAGCCAGATTCTAATCTATAGTATCGTATAGATTATTGTAATTTTTAATGGATAATTCAATATAAAATCCCCATTTTAAAATGATTTTATTTAACTTTGTGTCGTACTCAAATCTCACAGCTCAAATTTCAACCATTTCTAATATAGATAGAATGCCGAAACTTTGAGGACATATTTAAATTCGTGACAATACATTTTAACGATGTTTTAGAAGGTGGCCCCATCCCATCTTTCTTCCCACCCAGAAACCTTATAAATATAACCAAACGTAGAATTTAATCATGTGTAAATGATTTTGTTTGATATCTGTGTAAATGCATTGTAATCATTTACAATTATATAGTGGGTCCAAGAGTGAGGCGAGGTTACTCACCGTTCCCCATTTCCAATGTAGACATGACCAATGAAATTGGATATAAATGACAAAATTAAACATGACTCTTATAGATCTAGAGTCATGGCAGTGACTCTGCGCCAAGTAGAAAGCAACTGACCTTACTACATATCCAAAGAAAAATATCTGAAATGTAAAAAAATGCGCCAAGTAAAAAATCATGACAATTTAGAAGACAGTCAAATTATTTTATTTGAGCGTAAAATTAAGCCATAAAAGTAAAATGTGAAAAACCCAGTGAATTTTGACCTATCGACCCGGAAGTGTCGCCGGCACCTCACTGATAAAGAGAAAGGCTTAATTTTTAAAAAAAAAACTGAGCTTTCTAGACTCAGTAGTTTTTCTCTTTGAGTGTCTGCAGTGCCGAATAAGGAGAGAAGAAATACAGCTTTATTCTTGGCGAGTTTTGTACTTTTCGATTGCTTATATTTCGGCAACCATTTTATACAAAGTTCGGAAATTTTGCACACTATCGATGAAAACAATTATCTTTCGAACGAGATATTCGGACTTACTATAGGTATAAAACTAAATTCTGAAAATTGAATATACAGTAGAGCATCGATTATCCGACCCCCGATTAACCGACACCTCGGTTAACCGACCGTCCTAGTCGGCAAATTTCAAATGTCCGCTAGTAATGTGGCGCTACAATATTTCGCTATGTCTTGGCTACTTTAATATTATTTTTACGTGTTTTAGCTGGCAACACTGGCTCGACCATGAAAGGGAGCCAGTATTTAAACGAGGCTTAATTTTCTAATTTTTAACGATACAATAGCGGCGATTATTATTTAAAAAAAATTATTGTTAGGCTTAACATCGATGAAAATTCAACGCGAAGTAGGTTAATAGCGATATACTAATTACATGGGATATAATAATATACTACACTAATAATGGATTTTTTCGTACTTTTCGGTTATCCGACTTTTCAATTATCCGACCAACCTGAGTCCCCAATTGAGTCGGATAATCGAGGCTCTACTGTAATGGTGACTTTGTATTATCTACAGATTTTCGTTTGATCTGGAAAGCTGTTTTAAAAATTACAATCAGAATGAAGAAATATTAGGTCTAAGCGTACCATAATGTACCGTTTATTTATAAGCATATATATATATATTTATTTAAATTTTATTCCTAAATCCTCTGGGGCGAGATCTAACACCAATATCAACCTCCAAAATTACGCCACAAATCTATAAAGAAAAGAAAATTTGTTACTTTTAGGATATAGGCTACGTAATGAAATTAATATATTAAATGTTGAGAATCGTTTAACAGAGAATTTTATGTTAATAAACAAAAATAAAGCTTATTAATAAAATATAAATTAACACTAATATAATTTTAAATTGGTCGGAGGAGTCTTCTCTGCTATGACAGACCTTCATATATAATAGTAATATCATACTTAAAACCCGTCTTTTGAGGATTATAGTTTTTACTATAATCATATACTGCTTTTATATGGTCGATAGATGTAATAAATTCCTAAGTTCAATTAGTCTTTTTAAGGAAACTTTTCTTTGTAGAAAGATATGTTCCAGGTTACGTCATAACCCGAGGGATAAATAACAGATATTTGTTATATCCGTTATAGCCTATCTCCTATTGTTATTCAAGCATGGATTATTAATTGTAAATTATAAAAAAAAAAATTCTGCATATATCAAACTTTATCCTGCTTAAAATATGCTATAGAAACTATATTAAACACTATATTATCTTTGTTACTGTTGTTTAGATTTCTTCACATTTGAAACTTTGTCATAGATTATATCTTTATTTTTGAAGGTTGTCAAGTCCGAAGACTTTCTAGTATAATTTAAAATAAATACATTAGGGATATAGAATATTTGACGTCAAAAAAGATGGTGATTCATTATCATTAATTACAATGTATTGTGTTCGTTTAACGAACCTTCGCTCGTTCTTCCGGCAATATGGCGCACGTTATACAGGAAGTTAACGCGATAATTTTTGTTCGATTTAATTCTAAATTATACATTTTTTGCACCTTTTTATTTATTTATTTATTTATTATAGTTTTTACAAACGCATCCTAT